TATACACACATCCAACAACACAAGATAATAATGATAAAAATAAAATAAAAAAGAGATAAAATACACATATAGCTCTTCTGTATATATATCTATATATATGTATATATATATATGCATATGTAAAAACTAAATCCAAGTAAAGTGAAAATCCAAGGGACTGAGATTCCAGTCATAGAGAGCTTGTATCTTCCGGCATTTAGATACGTCTCTGTTTCAGCATACATGACTCAAACATTTATTCGTTAGTAGAGTTCTCTACGACATGGTTGCAATGGATGGAAGTTTAGCCATTTCATTCAGATCTATATGGCAAGGTACATATCGATTCATTTTATTTATGTTACGCCGCAGTTCACAGTATATCTCAAATCACTTTACAGAGACAATCCAATCAGATTAGACAGACAAGGAAAACCAGCTAATGGCATCCAGTCATTGAATTTGTAGGATTCACTTCTTCTAGATGAGCATGTAGCGACGGTAGATATTCACTTACATTGTGTAGTTGACTCTGCAGCAATCCCTCACCACAAGCATGGATGCAGCGACAGTTGTGAGGAAAAAAAATCCCTTTTAAACTGCCTTTTCCAGCAGAACTAGGCTCAGTGTGAGCAGCCTTCTGTTGAGGCCGACTGGGGGTTTGAGGAGAAAGAATCAGAAATTCAAAGGGAACACAGCAGCACTGCTCCATAAATGTTTTCTTTGTTATGAAAGGTTATGCTAAACTTGCTCCATAGGAGGCTCTGTCTGGGAAAGATATGGTTAAGCAGATGAGCTGTGAGACAGTTTTCAGGCCAAAGGGATAAAAGAATTCAGTAAGGAATCAAAATAAATACAAAAAATCAAATTATAAACCCATATTTATAAAACAGGAGCTCCTCTGAGTAACTCCCTTGTAATCATATTTAAACTTGATGAATTGGGAACAAAATACAGAAGAAAAATTATGGTCAGACTGACTTAATTAATCTACTTTGTTATTATCAAGACACCTGAGCTAATTTGATGAGCTCCGATAGCTCAGTGTGAAAAACAGCTGATGATTTTCTCTA